CACACCCTTTGTCACGAGTACCTTTAATGAACCATTATTCTTTCCTAAATCTTCCTAAGTGTCAATACACAGCGCCTAAGTCAAACCCTAATCCTACCCTAAAAGTGTCTATCATTCCCGAAATACCTTTAGCACCCACAACACGTGTCTTCGATGTGACTGATGAAGAAGATGAGTTCTTTGATTGTGAATAGATTAGATTAGATATGATAAGATAAGATATGGTCATGTGATGCTTCTTTAATATTTACGATGTTCTATGGTATGATTCCCTTTTCCTTTTTATGATTGGCTAGTAGTTGTATCTCAGTTTCAATCTCAGTTTCAATAATTGTATATAGGTAACACGTCTTGGTCGATAGTTCCTTAGTTCAAACCTCTTGTATCTACACTGTAGCAATCCAAGATGTACTTGCTCATTCTCTTCTCTGTTGTGATAACCTTAGTCCAAGTCCTAGTCTCTGCCCAACAGTTAATTCATTATTGGGTTGTGACATTAGGTTTGAACTATAGGAGACTCTGACTCTTGCATACCGCTCACATCCATTACTATATCCTTTGAAGCCTTGGCTGACCAATCGGTTGACCAACAATTCAAACAATCATCTTTACTTGTTGTTACACGTGTCTCTCAGCAGCACATTTGCGCGAGACATACGTCTAACATCCATTACACATTTTATCTTGCCCGGTCTAAACAACCGCCACCCTTTTCTTTGAAACCCTTTCCTTTGCTCACTTGAGTGTTTTCTATCAATAGTCTTTCATAGTTAGTAGTCCTATACCAGGCCCTGCCTTACATTGCAGCTGCCAGTATACGGAGGTGTTGACGACATTAGGTGTCTCGCTACAACTTGAAGTGCTGGCCCAAGACCCTGCCTGCTTCACGTTACTATAGTTTCTTTTTTACGATTACCCTTTTCTTTGTACGCACATAGTACCTTTCCGTTAAGTTTAGTAGAACTGTCGCATCTGCGGATAGTCTTACCATTGTTACTACGAGGATTTAGATACGGTGTTCTAGTGAGACTCGCACTTGTAAGCTTCGGCTGGAAGAGTGATAACTTGTCCTAGACCTGTACCCTTGTGGTGATTGAGAAGTAACACACATGAAGCACACCACATTTTTCTCACTTAACAAAGGAGTAGTTTACGTACTCTTCTTTTAGTTAGTAGATAGGGAAGTGTCAGTTGGGTTGATTAAAGAACCCTTTGACCCTGAAGCACGTGGTAGATCCGATTAGTATCGGGGACTGCTTCAGTTTTCTGTTTACGTACTCCTTTTTCCCTCTCCCTTAATCATCATTCCTTTTCGGGTGGACCATTATGACTCGTCCACCACTTCATTATTCCTTTTCCGGAAGGGCCGTTACGACTCGCCCTTCAAACTTCTTACGTCATTTGTAAAGTGGGTTCCAGAATACAACTGGTACAATGACTAAGAAAACTTATTCCTTGCATGAGTTTCACGCACTTGATGAGGCTATGAATGGGCCTAAACAGCTGTTCAATTGTTACAAATGTGGAAAGCCAAATCACATTGCACGAAACTGCAGAACTCCAAATTCCCCTCCCTCCTCAGACAGCTCCGCACCTCCAAAATGGTTCCAAGATTTCTTAGCTGATAGAGAAGCAAAGAAGAAGGAATCAGAAATTCCCAAGTGGTTCAAGAACTGGACCATATCACCAGAAGGCAAAGAGATACTGGCTAAGATAAAAGCCAAGGCAGACACACTTGCCAAAAAAGTATCAGAACCGCCTAAATGGTTTAAAGAATGGGAAACTTCTAGAAAGAATAGAATCCTAGAGGAACAAGAGACAGACAAGTCGGGCAGTAGATACTCGATCCTTGCAAACTTTGCGGATGTAGAAGAAGTAAACTTAAAGACAAAATCAGAACACTTCTATCTTCCCATAATGCTTAAAGGAAAGAACAAATCTGCAGATTTGAAAGCTCTTGTAGATTGTGGAGCATCTACGCTCTTTATCAACGAACGATTTGTCAAGGAGAACAGAATTTGTTGTAGAAAATTACTGTGTCTGATCCAGGTTAAAAACATCGATGGATCTCTTAACGCCTCGGGATCGATGACTCACTTCACCAAACTAGGTCTTAAGGTCAGTAATCATGAAGAAGAAAAAGTAGCATTCATGGTTACAGATCTAGGGAGCGATGATGTGATCATTTGTATCGACTGGTTGAGATACCACAACCCTGAGATTGATTGGAACGCAGGGAAGTTTTCACTTTCACGGTGCCCAGTGAAATGTGAAACTAAAAAGGAGAAAAGACTCTGAAACAGGGCTGAGAAAAAGAAAAAGTCGGAAGAAGTCGAAGACGTACCCGGCTTGTTGCCTGCAATGGCAGATCAAGATGATGAGGAAGATGTGGCAGTTAAGAGAACGACCATGGAGGAAATAGAAGATGAAGAAAGTCCAGAGAGACTATGGATTCAATACAAAGCCTCAGTCGCCATGGAGCAGAAGGTAGCAGAAGAAGCTACTAAGAAGAAACAGTCGGTAGAAGAAATGGTACCCGACTGGCTTCATGATTTCCTGGGAGTTTTCTCAGAAGAAGAATCTAAGCGCTTCCCTGAAAGAAAGAAGTGGGATCATGCAATAGATCTTAAAGATGAGGGCGATCTTCTGCCAAATGCGAAACCATACCCATTGTCACCCAAAGAGATGGATACATTGAAAGAATGGTTGAAAACCGAGACTGCACTGGGACATATTAGAGATTCACAATCTCCAGTGGCAGCACCTTTCTTCTTTGTGGCCAAGAAAGATGGCAAATTAAGACCGGTGATGGACTACAGAAAGCTCAATGAGAAGACAGTTAAAAATGCATATCCGCTACCGAGATCTCAAGATTTAATTGATGCTCTAACCAGTGCCACGATGTACTCTAAAATGGATGTACGATGGGGGTACAATAATATTCGCATGAAAGAAGGAGATGAGTGGAAGGCGGCCTTCGAAAACACTGTTTGGTCACCACGAACCGACTGTGATGTATTTTGGACTCACGAACTCGCCTGCAATCTTCCAAACTATGATGAATGAAATTCTGAGAGACCTGATAGATGGCAAAACAGTAGTTGTCTACATTGATGACATAATGGTCTTTACGAATGGAAATAGGGAGCAGCATTGCATGTTTCTCTAGTGACAGCCAATTTCTGTGCCTGGATGTCCCACACCTGAAGGTATGCCTTTAGGGGCCCGGAATCCCATGATGTCACCGCCAGCTTTCGAGAGTCTTGCGAGAGTCGAAACTCTAATGTATGATGATCACCAAATTTGAATGGACCAGCCACGATTTGGCCTGTGTCCAGGCTCCATATCTGCGCTGTCCCATCCCATGACCCAGCCACTAGCAACGTGCTGTCCCCAGAAATATCCATGCGCTTGATCTTGCCTACATGAAATATTCTCACCACTCCCATCTCAACCTCACATACTTTGAGCACCCCATTAACTGCAGTGACAACCCATCGACTATCCCTTGATAACCCCACTCCCACTATATAATCCTCGAAAACTTCATGAGCTTCCTTGATCTCCTTACCCTCCTGCACGTCCCATCGCCAGATTGTCTTATCGTGTGATCTGCTGATCATTTGCTTGCCATCGGGAAAATAGGAAATGTATGGAATGTATTTGATCTCCTGATGATCATCCAAGTCATAAGGAAAGGAGACTGAATGAGGTTTATGTCCCTCCAAGGTCATCACCAGTGTCAGAACCGATTTATTCAATGCTATAGCGGGCTGTTTCGAGCTGGAAGCCATGGCGGTGGATTGGATGTGTTCGGTGAGTTGTCCTCCTATGCTCTACGTCTGAAGTTGCTGGTCTCGAGAGCCACTGCACTTTTCCTGCTTGGACCAATCAGTGCAGGAAGCTCATGTAGGGTGCTCACGTTACACGAATGTTATCAAGGACGAGGAATGATGCCATGATTAATAGGCAACCTCTACTTATATATCCCCTTCTTCGTAGCTATACGTTATACAGCATGTCCTTTTTCATCATCGCTCTCAAACTTGCCTGAGCAACATGTCAGAATACGGCATTGTGACCCTGTAGAAATCTGATAATTCTGTCAGATGACGAATACCTGCTTCGAATCTTCGGTTCAACACGTATAGTTGCAATGACTGGGCCAGTAGATCATGCGCTCAGCTTACCCACCCATATGATAGTATTCTCCAAGTAGTACAACTCTGTAAAATAAATTCACGAACAAATTTTGATACCTCAAACATGTTTGTAATACACCATGATGCTCGAGCTAATAGGAAGGAACCAATCATTCTCGTTGACCTGCATAAAACCTGCATCAAAAAGATACATCAGATCACGAACTCACATCCAAACGACAGGCGCACCACCAAACTGAAAATCATCAATGATCTCATCCTCCGCTTCCTCGTCCGGGTCTTCGTCTTCTACCAGATCGCCTCCGTCAATTTCGTCCGCTTCTTCTTCGTGCGTTTCGACCAGAGGGGGTGGACCAGCTTCCTCGGCGATAGTGGGAGAAGGCTGATCAGGGGCCGCATCTTCCCCCATCGTCGCTAGATTCGATAGGCTCAAGCCCAGGAAGATAATCACTCTGCCCCTTCACGCCAACAGCCAACATGGTTTGACAGGTACCTGAGCTTGATCCGCATGCTGAGCCTGAGCTTGAGGCGATGGCACGATCTGGATGGGCGCTGGAAGATGCCCATGAGGTGGAGGCGGGATCATCATCATGCGCCCTGCTGGCTGAGAAGGTCTGTTTTGCTCTAAAGACGGGCACCAGTTAAACAAGAGGCCGGTATCTGTCATTCGCAGACATGATACGGAGGCTAGGTGTCAGCTGTTGTCGTATCTTGCCACGAAACAGAATTCAGATGGATAAGCCGATGAGAAGGCTGCTCATTTTCTAAGAATAAGTTGGACGTTACAACAAACGATCAAGAGCACAAGGTATACCTGGAATTTGACCAGAAGACGAACGATTAAGCGTGAGGTGGCTGCTCGATACATTAGCATGGCTAAGATACAAGGTGTATGAGACGATTTGAAGAAACCTTACCATGATAGGTACTTGCGATTGGATGAGTTGTAAAATAGAGGTATCCTAAATTGTCAGGTCTATGCGCTTGTTGCAAGTGAATAGCATAGTTTCTAATAGATTGCCCAGTAGCTGGGTGGTTTGGATGAAAGCGATATCCTGCATTGAAGTGTGAATGGGATGTTGCTAAGCGAACGAGGCCTCACCGATTATGTAAATAAATGTTTATAGTCCAATGTGATATTGGAAAGTAGTAGCGAGCGCTACAGTCTAAAAAACTCGAGTCAGTAGATACAAGTTCACGTTCTGAACAAGCCCGTCGTGATTCTTCAAAGTTTATGTACCTTTTAGATCTCTGGGAGCCAATCGTGATCACTGGATCAATATACATTGCAGAAGTCATCGAAGAGACTGTGGGATCCAACGAAGGTGACGACCGGTCAAGAGTGATGAAAAAAGTACTAAGGTCATCACTTACGAGGAGTCAACTTTTGATTGACATGGACCATCGTTGATAAGGTTGGTTGTACAGTGCATGCACAAAGCACAAAACCCATGCGGTTGGTGTAAATGCAATACACGGTACTAGATGTTATAACGCAAACTAAGTAGCGGAAGAAGAGGGAATACCTAGACGGACTGCTGCTTTGGCACTAATGAATTGGTACGGGGGAAATGACCTGTATACTAATTTCATGATCCCGAGCCTACAATGCGGTCACATCAGACCGTTGCTATATTCAAACAGAGCACACGCACCCATGTCACAGTAAGCCGATCCTGTTCCAAGAATATACAGGAATCACCTGTCGGAAAAGGCGTGCGACAGACCGTTGCAATGAATGCACGACTCGAGAAGATATCTTTACCGAAGGAGTCAGTCGTCTGCGACTTACAAATGCGGAGATCTGGCGAGTCAGGATCATTGATATCCGAACGAGCGAGGACTCGCTTATTGAAGTCCCAGATGTGCACATAGAAGTAACCCTCAGTGGCGAGCCGTTTCAGTCTTTGACCTGGGTCAGGAATATAATCTTGGGGGAGGGCATAGGCCATTTTGCTGCCAAACACGCTGATACCGTAACGGTAGCTTTTGAGGTGCCGAAAATAATGCGTATGTTGAGGTCCCCAGTCTGACCAAGGAATCTCGACGGGCATATCTGAGTGCAAGGCCATGTCAGAGAAAATGGCCATATCGATGACTAGGATACTATTCCGCGCTTTGGAAAGAAACTGTAGAACCATAATCTGCGACTCCAGGGAGGGCACATAGCTGGGCACGAGTCCTGGGCGTGCTGCTTTGCCACGGAATGATGGGTGGCCGTGGATAATGACCTGGTCCATGGGTAGACGGCGTCTCTTAGGAAGGTGATATGTAATTCGGCGCTGAGGCGGCCCATCGAGCCCTTGTAACGTGTACAAGTATATCGAGTCTTTGGAACTAATGATGAGAAACTTCTGTTCGTCGATTGCATGGAAACCGTAACGGTGACAAAATGAGTCCTCCGGTTGAAATAAAAAAATGCTGCTTATGTTGAGCAGCAAGATTTTTCCAAACAGAGGGAACTTACGCTATATGCAAATCCCTTCCTCCAATCAATGACTTGTATGAACATGCCAGATACAAGCCGGTCATATGCGTCCTCCTCTAGCCAATAAACGACAAATACACGATCACCACAGATTATAGGCGGATGCGAAGCAGCATTGTAATAGCCAGGTGCATCAAAGGTATGTCTGAACTCCAAGGAAGCGCACGCAGCATCCGGATGTGGACGCTGGGATGAAGCCAGTCGAAACTCTGTCCAAAAGACACGGTGATCTTGTTCTGCACTAGTCACAGTGATACAGCCAATATAAGGCTTAGAAACTACAACCATAAGATCCTGCAGAGGGTCGAAGGCATCATGGCACGGAGTCCAGTGTCGTGGATATATATCATCGATAGACCACGTCCGGGAGTGTGTAGGATTCGTGTTGCAATCCTGAATGTAGAAATCGTCCACTAGATCGCCCAGGGGTAACCGCCAAAGCCCACATTTCCCAGATTGGAGTGGCCATGGCGACGGAAAATCTATGGGAACCACTGCTTCAAAGGTTGTGGTCGCACGGAAGTCAGATCGCCACAAAGATGCCAATTTCTTGAGCGAACACAGAGTCTTTCTGGAAACGCCGGTCGAGTTCATGGTAGTGGTCTCAGTACTAATCAAGCCCTGAGCATTGATTTCAAGCTTGTATTGGATGTGGACAGAATTCTGGACCACAACCGAAAAGGTATTGCAGGTCTAGCATGATTAAACGTTAGCCCTGGAGGAAATATGGAACCATGGGAAACAGCGGACCATTGCACAGCGACTAATATCCCTGGGGCTAAGAAGGATTAGAATGTGGCATATGAGCTCTGCAGGAAGCGACAAGAATCCAACCGCCATGATCATGGTTGTGAAGAAGAGGGGACTTCGGATTTGAAAATTTTAGGAGGCCAAACCTCTCCTTTCCTGAGTCACATTGACAGGGCGAGTACTTTCTGCGTTGGAATCCAGGCGGAGGGCGAGTGGTAAGCGACGGTCCTTTCTATATCGAAGTCCATGCGGACCTTGCAGGACGTAGACCAAGAAAGCAGAAAGCACTGGACTACAAAGGAAATTCCAGAATTATTAGGAACTATAGATCGTCCAGCACAACATGTACGATACCAACTGTTAGGAGCACGGCATGCGCCTGTCGGCAGAAATCGAGCACTTACTATAACTCGATGTTTCCGATGCCTTTATTCTACAGGGTATATAATCTACCCACACCCTAGCTTCCTACAATCCATGACCATAAATAGGTACTCGGAAACTGACTAGCTCAGTATGGATCTCGCTTATCGTCCAGTGAGCTTTATCTCAAGTGCACGCAGCGGTGGGTAAGTGACAGCCGAAAAAGCGGCCGCGAGCTATATGCAAATCAAATGAGCGCACGTTCCATCAGTCAAATTGTTGATCATACCTCAAACCCAAGATCAGCGCCATACGCTGCTCCTGCCATCTTCCCAAGCGGTCCTGTATACCATACCTATGAACAAGGATATGTGTATCAGTGTACGAAGCTAGAGCAGGGAAATGACATACCTCTGACATCCCAACGATAGCACCTGCGATTCCAAAGCACAATGCGAGTACACCCGCTATGCCCAGTGGTAGCCTTGAAGATATGACAGGGTCAAGACATTTTCACCCAAAACCAGTAGACTCACTTTGATGGCGTATCATAATCATCCAAATTGTAACCCCCAAGCGGCCCGTTCTTCCGCCTGAAGATGAAATGCTCCTCGGCTACGATCACGATAAAGAAAGCCGTCCAGTAACTGAGGATACTGAGGAAATTGGAAAGGATGGCGCTGAAGTGTTCGCGGCCTGCGACGCCTGCTACGGTATATATGACGAAAGCGAGGAAAACCCAGAAGAAGCGCGGAATTATGGCGAATGGGCGTCCGAGAGCTTGTATTGACAGGCCAGTGGAGTAGGTATTTGGTATATTGTTGGCGCTATTCCCGGATTAGTACATACAAGAAGGTATTAACTCGTTCTCACATGACAGAAAGTGCGAGAAGGACAAGGATAAATTGGCCAAAGTGGCCCCAAGGAGAGAGAACTTGCGCAATTAGGCCGCCTGTTGAGCCATCTGCGAATGCGGTGATGTATGCGGTATCTGTGATTGTCATGAGGGCTGCACCAAGGATCTCGACGAAACAGATGGGGATGAACAGGCCGAAAAATGTAAGCAGGAATACGCGTATAGGTGGCGTATTAGCCGGTAGCCGGCAATTATAATCTGCAGCAACTGGAGCCCACTACTTAGTAGATAAAGGTTTACAGGTGATACAAGAGAGACAATGGCTGAACGCACCCCTGTAAACGAGCCGAATACGATTCCACCAAAGCTGAGAATATCTGCTGAGAGAGCACGCCCTGTATCCTCGAAAGGTTTTTGTGCGTTTATGTCATATCCAGCTTTACCACCAAGACCCCAAAGGAAAAGCATTATGAGACTGGTGACCATCCATGCGTAGCGCTCGTAGATGTGTACCATGTTGTACCCGATAAAACACGGGATGAGGCAACATACACCAATGATAATGATGCCAACGACGAGGGGGAGGGTGCCGGGATTGATATTGGCGAGCGTTTGACCTCCGAGAATAACTGCTGTTGTGGAAAAGCCGAGCCTAGGGATAGTCAGTGAGATAGTGTGCATATGAACGAGAATCCGCGCACTGAGTGAGGATGTTGAGAACGGAGTATATGGTGCCACCGAAGTACCCTGAGCTGAAACGGGTGATAATCATGGTACGGAGACCAGTTATGGGGCCGAGGGTAGCGATGAACGCTGTTGCAATGCCACCGAGAGCGCCAAAACAGAAAATAGTTGCTACAGCGTTGCTTGAGAGAATGAGTGTGGTTATGGAGCTTGCATATTTGAATGACATACCCAAAAGTCAAAGTGAAAGTGGACTGTGCGAGCGCCCCGATAGGAATGGTAGTCAACACTGCATTAACGGACCTATGAGAAGATCGAGAGAAGGGAACATGAATAGAAAACAATGTGTTGGATCAGATTGGACTGACCACCACATGAGAAGACTGCAATGGGGGGTCAGGATAGGAATAGTACGAGCGCAACACAACAGATACGCACTTGTTCCAAGCATTTTTGGACTCTCTCTGGTTTTCCGGTACACGTTCTACTCCACGAGCCTCGACACCAATCGCAAAGAGTCTTGAAAGAAATGGGCCGAGTACACCAAAACGGTTTGCGATCACACGATCTGGCGCTACCTCAGCGTACGCAACTTCATCTTCTGCCGCGCCAAGGGCTTTCTCCTTGTCTTCTGTGTAATAGTCTGGGGAAGCAGACATGTCAATGGTGCTGGTTGGGCAAGGTGGAAAGGCCTAGCGACGTCAACGGCCGGCTGATTGTTACATAAACGATTTCTAGAACGCAGCATTTGGTGCAACAGTTCCGTAAATGCTCAATTCACAGCGCTAGCTGTCACATGCGCTGTTCCTGGTTACTCAGAAACCGGTGTAGGACGCATCGGGTTCTTCAAGATGCCGAGTGGATGAAATGACCAAGGACACTGAACTGCTATGCGGTGCCAGTATTCAGAGGGCACTGATTGACTCAAAACATCGTATCGAGTGAATTGTTCGACTCAAACTCCCTGAATCGTCTTCTGGCATAAATCAATCAGCAGAACAAGATTACAAATGGTCCATCGTTCGAGATAAGATGCTAATAGCTATTCCAGGGGAAATCAACCATGATGTTGACACAGAAAATCTTTGCGACGAACGTGAGTTGCATTATAGATTCTCCGGTATTAAGCATATCTGGTTCCAAGTATGCGCAAATGGTCTACAAGGAAACGTTTGTACTGTCGACTCATTGAAACGGATATAATTGAACGCGCCTAATACCCTGTAGGAAGTCAAACTGCCTTCTGAATATGTGCTTTTGCAATCCGAGCAACGAGGATCCTTGGCGTCTCACTCATTCGTGAGAAAAGCAGTAACATGAGGCGCAAAAACACAAAATGAAACACGCAGAAGCGGACGACCTAAGAGTGCTGTGAGAGAGCGATCTAATAGTGCATAGTTATCGGAACTTGGAAGTAGTAGAAACACGAATTCAAGCTGGAAAGAGCAAAGTTCGAACGACATACACGCATTCGGAAGGTGCTTCTCACGCCTTTGCTGTTCCGTAGTTCGTTGTCGTCGTCTAGGTAGCGTCGGAGGCACCAAGCTATACAGTCGCATTTGAAGATACTACAGCCCATCCACGCAGGAGCCTAGATTGTCTCTCAAAAGGTACAGTAATGAAAAGACGATTAATGAAAATTCTCAGGTATTCTTGATCGATTATTTATCCTGTCACGGTATACCGCATGCAATGCGAATCGACGATATACTAACAAGCAGGAGTCAAAAAACTACTTCACTTCTACTGGGAGGTGTGCCAAGTATGATGAGGACGGGAAGCTTGAGCGGAAAATGATTCTCGTACGTGTATCTATTATCCTCCTACTGCACATATAAATCATTTCCCCTAGCGATTAATGACATCTAAGATGTGCACGGTACGATGGACTTATATTGCCTCGGAGTACAGGCAATTTCTAATCTCATTGATCCAGGTGTTGGTGATTAATCTTTCTGATGTGGTTGTAAGGGTTTTTTACGCATTCATGAAATTCCTTGCCAGTGGAGACTAATGTTGTGGTCTTTGTCCGATTTGTTTTCTTCTCCTGGCTCCCGCATCCACAGCGAAGTCCCGCATATCCGGCAGCCCATATCCGTCAAGCTCACCCACAATTTGACAGATCAAATGCGGCAAAATCTTCCACAGCGTCCTCCAAACTCTGGGCGAGTACGTCGAAGGCCTGTCAGACATGCCGCCAGTCGACTAGTCGATATTCAATGCCAATCATGCGCGCACTGTGAAGTCAGCGCCGCTCTTAAATTCAGGCAGAACTTCTGTGCCAGGCACATCAGCGACAACCTTGTATGTATCGCGATTCACTCGCACGTTCAGAATAGTGCAGACCATTCTTTTCTTTAACTTTCTCATTTTCACAGGGAATGCTAATGCAATTAATAGCTTGGGCGAATCTGATGTCAAGCCGCATCTTGATTGCTTGCAAGAATATTTCAAACTTCCAGGTAACAGCAATGGGCGCTGTATTACTCCAATCTATATCGGCACAGCTGACGGCGGTTCTTGCGAGAAAGTACCGCGGGAACGCATGTGGGAGTGATGTGAGATATTTCGTTGTGCGGCTCCTCCAATCCCCAATGAAGAAGTGCCAGCAAACAAAGAAAGCGACGATGGAGCGCGGAAGAATGAGACCGCGCAGAGAGCCCGTGGTTGCCCATAGATTAATATTGGTATCGTACTAAAGTTGGGTGAGTCGAAAGCGACATCCAAAAGCATCCAGATCGAACGCAAGAGATGCTCCTGGTCAGTGTCACCACCATAACCACTTCACTGAAGCTTCACCCTCGTTTGAATGTATGTATCTTGACCAACACACGATATTTTTCTGTAAAGTAAATTGTGAACTGTGGCTTTAGGTATCCTCGAGTTCTACTACGAGGGGTTCAAAGTGAGAAAACAATGAACTGCTTCCAGTACACGGAGAAAACGACCTTTTTTAACCACTTCGGTATTTTCTTTTGTCGCATAACTCTACCTGTTCTGAGTAGCGGATTGTAGGAAAATGCAGAGTTTTGCTGGGGATATGGCCTTAACCAATAAGGCTTTGTATACAAAATTTAGGCATGGCTTCGGTGCAAATTGGATATTCGACATAATTTTTTCGTATTCCCCGTGTCCAGTGGGTTGGGCAGACCAATCCAGAGCTCTGCGTCAACTTGAAACGAAGGAATGATTAATTGTTCTTCGCTTTAAAGTTTGACTACAGACCTGCAAAATATTGATGCGCCCGCGCAAGTAGGTGAGTAATTTTGGTAAGCGGTTTGAACTCCGACGGAAGGCAGAAAGGTACCGACCGTTGGTGACTTCTCCTGTCTTCTCATGGTCTGCCCGCATGCGCCGTATCCCAGTTGCCACTTGACTGGGATGGATACTGACATAGCAAATCTAAGAAAACGCCATTGGCTTCGCACCGCCTCCAACACCGCGGTGAACGGTCCTGAATGAAATACTAGTTCTGCAGGTCACATACCAGTACGATGGCAGTAGAGCAACAGCACCAAGGAATGGAGAGAGATCTGTACGTCAATCATACGTTCAATCTTTACAGTAATACTATACTTACTAAGGGGAAGCTCATAAAATTCTAACTCTAAATTCTTCAAATTTTCCGTGTCACACGATGCCGATGCGCCGACATCTCCTGTGTGTTGTAATGGACAAATCAAGATTGCCATACCAGCTGCTGCGTATTCCCTGTGTCCTCGAGGTATATAACCTCTCTTCAAACTTTCATCATCCCTTCTGTTCCGGCAATTATGGCGTTTACGGGGAGTCCTATTCCTCCGGCAATCGCAATTTGTGCTGGAAGAATTGGATCGTTTCTCTCCAAACATCCGTTCGTGAGTAAAATGCCGTTTTGTGGAACGTTTTCACCAGTTTGACCATGGCAAGTATTGAACATCCTGCGCTGCTTGTTGTTGCCCATGGGATACGGAGGTCGTCCCAGCTCCCTCTCAATTTCATGAACATACATACTTCAACGGTCATCAAGTTTTTCTTGCCATCGCACAGACATTCCTTTTAAAGCCAAATAATGTGAGGAATGGTTTCCGGATTATTCGAGTCCAACCCCTCACACCTTGTAGTATGGGATTTGGCCTCTCCGATCTCGGTGGTACAATCTGCAGATCAGTTTTGATGGCTCTCTAAGCCTTAGTCTGGGCTGATGGAACCAATGGTGCCGGAACGCCCTCTTGCCGAACAGGGTCATGGAGCGCATCACCAGTAATTCACGTCAATCAACTTCAAGCGGTCAAACAGGTTGGCGACACCCGCAGATATACCAGCTCAATGTCCACAAAACTTCGACCTGACCTCTCAGTGCTTTTGCTGCTATTGCGTTCAATTACCTTCCGATGAATGCCACGGATGTGAAACCAGTCAACTACACCATAAGTGCCGATGGTGGACTTATCTACATCAACGTAATAAAGTCATACTAGTGATTTCGAGACACGTATTCTGCCGTTGCAATGGGCAATAGACCAGGTATCGCATTCGCTTGCTCTTTTTCCTTTCAAGTCAAAGTGTTAACCGTTCATCTCAGGCAATCATCGAGCTTAGATCTGGACAGGCAGTACCCACTCCTATGGAATGGCCATATAGTCAGGAAACCAACCAAAACAGGCCACGGATACGAGACTCAGTGCGTCATTCACATTCATGGTATAACTGCATACTGAAATTTTACTGCCTCAGGTTACATTAGAGGTATTCGGACTCTTATTGTCATTGCACTGTGAGTCAAAGACATCAATTGACAATTTTACAACTATAATACGGGATCCAGCTTTATTTGTTATATCGGAATTGCGTTTCATCTCCCGGGGGCATTCACCAGCGAGAGAGCCAATCTTCTGACTAGCCACATGAAGGCTATGGGTCTCCTGGATACTGCCAGAATAGCGTACGTCGCTGCTCAAAAGGACCCGTTAAACACCCGTTTCCCTGATTACTCATGGCATTCAGATCGTGGCATATTAGTATCTCTCTAGCATATCTTCCCGCATGGGTGGTCGTTTCTCTCATATGGCACTACCATATTTTCAGCGGTACTAATGTCGGTCTGGTGCTTGGCGTGCACCTCCTATTGGGATTCTCGCTTGCCAGTTGGTCCTTCTTCATCGCAGCTCCTTTTGGCAAGAGTCCTCAGCTTGCGGCTATATCAACTACATTCCTTTCTATCATATTTGCTATCCTCGCACTAGTCTTCAGTGGAGCTAACACGACTGCGGCGACTATTTTTACCTTAATCTTCCCGCCTGGATTCTACATATTTGCGATCCGCGCTATATGTGGCTGGGAAAACCACCAGATTCCAACCAATATCCTGAAGCCAGATCCGGATGACCATCTAATTTTGTTACCCTTAATCATTGCTGCTATAGTACGTGACGCATATTTCTCGTTTACACACTGTCTTGACCTATGCTTAGATTGACGTGTTTCTATGGCCATACTTAGGAGTCCTACTCGAGAGAAGGCTCTATGATGCCAGAGAGCCGTCCTCAGGCATCTGGTCATGTTGCCGCAGGCAGAAAAAGGCCAACCCACCTCCGCATCCTGATGGAGTTGCGATTTCTGTAAGGAATTTGGGCAAGACATTTTCCCCTTCCTTGTTCCACCGTGAGAAGCGTCCGGTCACTGCCATTGCAGATTTGTCTTTCAATGTTCCGAAGTCCGGCATCTTTGTCCTTTTGGGATCAAATGGGTGGGTTTTGCTTTACCTTTGGCAGAATGGAAGGATTGCTAACAATCAGGGGAATGATATAGCGCCGGTAAGTCAACCGCATTATCAATCATTGGAAATCTTCTTGGGCGTAGCACCGGAACTATCACCTTCGAGGGCGGTGTCTCTCGTCCTCCCCGCGGAACGCTTGGTATCGTGCCTCAGAAAAATGTGATATTCCCTGAACTCTCTTGCTACCAAACTCTTCGCGTATGGCGCGCAGTGAAGCATTCTACTCGATCGATAGACGAAGACGAAGACTACGAGCAGCTACTGCGCGACTGCGATCTCGGCAAAAAGATTCACGCCAATGCCAGTACTCTCTCAGGTGGTCAGAAGCGCAAGCTGCAGCTCGCTATTGGACTTGTCGGAGGCTCCAAGATCGTCCTTGTAGATGAGTGTACATCCGGTGTCGATCCATTATCCCGCCGGGCGTTGTGGAGGACTTTGACGTCTGTTCGCCTTGACCGGACAATTGTGTTCACCACTCATTTCTTGGACGAAGCTGATCTGTTGGCCGATAACATAGCCATTTTGGCCGCGCCAGGCAAGCTAGTAGCTGAGGGCACTCCTGTTGCTCTCAAGTCAAACCTCGGCCAGGGATACAGCGTCCAAGTCATGTTTGACTTCCCTGATTTGATTGAGAAGGACCTTCCACAAGCACCCTACGAAACTCTAGATCGTATTCGCCGAGTTTGCCCCCAGTGTTCCATGACACTCTCCTCGCCGAGTCAGGCGTCATACCACCTCAAGTCAAAGGATTCCGTTGTTGTAGAGAAGGTCCTCCAGTTGTTGGACAAGGAGCGCAACGCTCTCCACGTCGCGTCCTGCGATGTGTTGGGGACGTCCATTGAAGATATATTCCTGGATCTCATGGCCCGTCAAACCGGTAGTACCTCCCTTGACAGCACTGAGAAGTCCATCTCAAGTTCAGGTGGCATTTCTGAGCCCACTCTGACTGAATTGGCCGACAGCGCATCTTCTGCACCCGAAGTCCTTCAGCTTACCGACGGGCGACCTCGTTCTCCTCTTAGTCAAGCTTTGACGATATTTTATAAGCGTGCATTAATCGCTCGCAGGAGTTGGCTGACACCTTTGTTGACCGTGGTCATCGCGGTTTGCGGTGCATGTATCCCAATAGTCTTCCTGTCTGGCCAGGACACGACATGCACCACAAAGTTCGGAAACGAGAGTGTCATTTCGTTGTACTTCCCCGAATCGCCTATCTACTTTTCAGCGTCTGGACCTGGTACTGACATATTGGAATCACCCCCGGATATCATTGCCACTCTCGGACAAACTGCCTCATACCTGAAAACGGAGAACATCCCCAACAATGTCACATTCGTTTCAACGATTGATCAGGACTACCTTAACTTGACGTTCGGTGGGATATCGATGGATATGCAGACGGGTGATTCGCTATTTGCATGGCAGGCAAGCCCACCCGGTTTAACTGGTCCGACCATGATGAATCTGGTGACAAATATACTGTACAATCGGGCATTGAACGCTTCTGGGAACATTGAACGCACGCCGAACCTCATTTACGCGAGCTATGCTGCTTTCCCTCATCTTTCTGCAGGGACTCTGGTTGATCTCAAGTGGGTGGCGTTTTTTGGGGCCGCTATGGTACGCGTTATGTAAGTATACATAGAATGATGTGCTGATATCTTCCTTAGGCTGTGTTCCCTGCGTTTTTCTCCATCTATGTCTCAAGAGAGCGGAGATCAGCCGTACAAGCCATGCAGCTGTCGAACGGTCTTTCGGATCCCATTGGGCTTTGGATTGGCCATCTTCTATGGGACTCGATATTCTCGGTGACGCTGGCTACAATCATTATCATTGTCTTCGCTACCACCACGAATCAGTTCAACGGCCTTGGTTTCTTCGTATGTTTACCTTGATGTTTTTTTCGCGTTGTCACTCACCAATGGCATCTCGACAGTGGCTCGTCCTTGTTTTGTACGGCATTGTTGGCGCGTTATTCGCGTACTGTGTTTCGTTGTTCATGTCGTCACCGCTGTCTTCTTTTGCAGTAGTGGCAGGATACCAGATCATTATGTATATCGTGAGCTCTTGCAGTTTCTTGGGCGTACCACCACTAACACTGTAGGTCTAGTTGTATTTGGGTGGATATCTCCTGACGCTGACTTATGCGATACCGTCTCAATCCGGCACCATCATCACGATCATCCGTAAGTCGTTGTTATATTCTGCAGCCTGGTGTTTTAAACGATCTTTCTAGACTTCACGCTTTCAGTGTTATCACCGGTGGCTAGTGTCGTAAGTTGCATTATTTTCACCGTGCAAGCTAGTCTTCACTATGTCACAGATGCGTGCGGCTTTTGTATCAGTAAATCTCTTCTCGCTCCTTTGCAATGGCACGACTCCCGTAACAACGTCATCACTTGGTAACATCTTGCAATTTGGAGGTCCTATCCTCTATCTCTTCGTTTATGGCTTTATACTATTCGTTATTCTCGTATGGGTCGATTCTGGGTCAATTATCCCTCGTCGATTCCTCAATACCAAGGGACGGCAAGTACGAATGAATGAGCTACAGGCCAGCTTCGAGGCCAACAGACAAGACGTTGCCGCTGAAGCACACACAGTGGCACACTCCAGTGACGTGCTGCGTCTTCTTCATCTTACCAAGACATTTGGGGGCAATAAAGTTGTCGATGACGTGTCTTATGGGGTATCCCGGGACACGATTTTTGCTATGCTTGGGCCTAACGGGGCTGGAAAAACTACAACGTTCAACATGATTCGTATGTATATCTGATACAGCGATTACGTTCTGAGACTTATATTCGCGATTTTGTATTGTCTAGGCGGTGACATCGTTCCTGACATGGGAGATGTATTGATCAATGGGATATCAGTGTTAACTTCTCCGAGGACCGCACGTCTATCTTTGGGAGTCTGCCCACAGTTTACTGCAATCGACTCTCAGTTGACTGTTCGGGAACACCTCATGATCTATGGACGTCTCAAAGGCCTGAAAAGGGGCTACGAACTGAAGACCAATGTCGATGCACTCATGGTTGCTACGTCATTGCATATGTATGCTGACCGACTAGCGAGTAAACTGTCCGGCGGGAATCAGCGCAAGCTCTCTCTTGCTATCGCCCTCATTGGTAAGCTCCTAAACTTTAGGCGCATGGGATGGCTGACGTGGACACATGCAGGTAACCCGTCCGTTGTTCTGATCGATGAGTTCTCTACGGGAGTAGATGCGAAGATGAAGAGAGACATGTGGGGCACTCTCCGTAACGTCGCCGTCGGAAAAGCCATTGTCATCACAACACGTACGTTTTCTTTGAAATGACCATGACCTTTCCTTTAATTTCGGATGTCTATCTAGATTCCATGGAAGAAGCTTCAGCTCTGGCAAACAAGGTCGGCATCATCTCTAAACAATTATTGGGTAAGCACGTTCACTATGATATTTGCAATATCTTATCGCCTTGCAGCTGTCGGCACAATGGACAACCTGGTCTCGCGTTATGCCACGTACCAAGTGCATTTCTCTTGTCCAACACGAGAGGACGTGACTAGAGCTCAGGTCCTCATGAGTCGGATTCCAGGCTCCCGTCTAGCCGATGATGTTGCCACGCGCTTTGAAGTTCCTATACAAGAAGGCAGTGGCCTTACCCTTGCACAATTGTTCCATATTCTTTCGTCCCAAGGCGATTTCCAGGAGTACAGTGTAGAAAAGGCGACGCTAGAGAGCGTGTTCCTGAAGGTCATCAGAGGAAATAATGTTATGGAGGAGGACAATTCTTCTAGACGACGACGCAGATTTCGATTGTGGTAGCCTAGTTAGACCGGACTGACTTAGACTTGCACGGACTTTATCATGGACAACGTATTCATTTGTTGACAATCAATTGTATCAATGTATCTTTATGACCATTGCAATAATTGCAGTTGTTAATTGGTAGCAATATTAGCTTACCAGTATGCGCTGCAGCTCAGCGGTACGAGTGAATCAATAAATCTCAGTGACGGAAAATTCCGATCCGGGTGCGCCTTGGACCATCACGCATATCTTATGTTTTGCCATGATCATGATATTACCGGCCCGGCAACGCCCACACAACGCCAAGTCAACTCCCCGACTCCAGCTCACATCTCTTTTTGCGACGAGATTCCTTAGATTTAGACTAAATCATGCCGTCACTTTGATACGACTAAGAATATTTTCGCAATACGAACACTGGATCTCAACTTGTGGGCAGAACTCGGAGTCTGCTGGCAGATTCAGGTAGAACCGCTGCAGGGAATCACAGCAAATAACCTCCTTCACCTTTTGACTGAGGTCTTCTACCGATATCTGTTGGCGACGTGATCATAGTAGGTGATCACACTGAGTTACACGACACGCTTTGATAATTTTGCCTAGTGGTTTTTGCCAGCACAATTGCCACCCTCAAATAATTCTGCCCCTATGTAATAGTGCTGCAGTGTAGCATATGATCCGAGAACTGTACATGGGAGTCGGGGATGCGGAATGTTGCACGCGACTCGCGAGCCTTTCTCCTTGGAGATTGACGATCCCAACTCCAGCACATGCGACTGTTCTGGCTATTGTTTGCCACTTCTTTCTGGCGTAAATTCTTCCTATCTTTCACCACCTCTTCCGGGGCTACAAATTCTACACAAACTCGAAGGACCGTCAAATATTTTACAGGAAGAAGCAGTGGTTGAGTAAACGTTGTCACGTTGAGTATTGGTGCAGATGTTAAGCCACTCCTTCGGCTGACTAACTTCCAGTTGCCACCTGAAAGTTTGTCTGACAGTGACAGCCTGATGAGCAGTTGAACGATCTGTCCAATTGAAAACCCCAGCACGACATGGCTATAAGACAGCACATTACTTACCCATCAAGAGCTCATGGAGTAAGTCTCCACGCCAGACTGTCGTAGCAGCCAGGCACTTTAGGAACAGAAGTTGTTCCAACTTCTTGAAATTTCCTGATTCGACGACGAGAATTCCGGAGATACGTCCAAAGCACCCACTCAAAAGCCAACGGGTATACGAGTTCAAATTAAATGTGCTGTCACTTATCTTATATCTTTTCCGAGAGGGCCTGACTGGTGGCTTCCCAATGCTCGTGATGCGGTGTTTCAAGAGCGTAAATATTGCAGAAATCAGCTGGGACAGTACATCGCTTATATCCTCTGCTCAGTAAAAGAACCCAGAGCGCAAAGTCGACCCACCTGTTATCTGTTACATGTCTTCTGGTACGCTCATCTTCTTTGTGGCTGCACTGGTCACAGTTTTCTTCTACAACCGTCGATGCAGTAGATTGCCACTACCCCCTGGACCACGTCCAAAGTTTTTTACCGGAAATGTTCATCAACTGCCAAATAAAGAGCCTTGGCTAGTGTATGGGCTGAAACCTATGGTGAATATTGTCCAATGTTCCGCTTGCTATGAGATTTCTGACCTACGTCTCGTAGGGCCCATATTCTCATTCCGCGTGCTCAACCGGCAGTTCATAGTGCTCAGCTCCCTACAATCTGCTACTGAATTACTCGACTCTCACGCCACTATATATTCTGATCGTCCGAAAATATGGATGTACACAGAACTTGCGAGGCGCAGCCTGCTCCCGTTCAATATATCTTTCACTCACCCGTATTTCAAGATATATCGCACAGTCCTCAAGGCCAGTTTGAGTCCCCGCACTATACAAAACTACCAGTCGCTGCAAACCGAAAATTCTCTTTCGCTGCTTTATGATCTGCACAAGAACCCTCAACATTTTGCCGAGCACATCAGGAGGTTGAATACTTTCAATTGCTAGTTTTGGCCGTCTCTCATCGAAGGTACAGGAACGTAGCGGCGATTGTCCTTAATCTCGTATATGGCTGGAAGGTCACCGAGAATAACGATTATATCACTGGTATCCTGCAAGAAAGTGTAGAAATCGGTACCATACTTTTCCAGCCTGGACGTTGGTTGGTCGAAGCGATACCATCATGTAGGTACTCCTTTCATTTCCCGGGTCGTCATAAAACTTAACTAGCCGACCTTCCATGAGTGCGTTTCCTACCTTCATGGTTTCCAGGGGCAGGATTCAAGCGTGTAGCCTTCGACATCGGGAAAAAGTTGAGTAGCATTGACACGATACCATATAATTGGGCCAAACAACAAATAGTAAGCTTCTTCTTGTTATGCGGAATCCTAACCAATTATTATTGCCTATCAGCAAAGCGGCAGCTACACACATTCCTTTGTTTCAGAACAGCTCCTTCCGGAGGATGGGTCCACGGTCGGCGCTCAACAAGAAGAGATCACCAAGTGGTGCAGTCAGGGGATCTATGCAGGAGGATTAGACACCGTAAGATACCTTTTACACTCTCCCTCGTGTGACTTTAAAACAATGAGCAGACATCATCAACCTTAACGTCTTTTATCCTAGCGATGCTGCTTTATCCAGACGTGCAGAAGCGTGCGCAGGCAGAGATCGATACCATAGTGGGTCAGGACCGATTTCCCGCGTTCAGCGACAGAGACAAGCTTCCGTACATCGAAGCGCTCATCCAGGAGCTCCTCCGCTGGGCACCTGTGGTTCCGCAAGGTCAGGCATATAACTCTTGTGTCCTAGTTCCCGCTCACTCTCAGCAACGCAGGGCTCCCGCACCACGCGATGAAGGAAGATGTCTACGAAGGATACCACATACCTAAGGGTACGACCGTCATCGCGAACATCTTTTCCATGTCACGGGATAAGGCAATGTATCACGACCCATTAGAATTCAGGCCTGAGCGCTTCCTCGGTCCCTCTCCCCAATTGGATCCACGCAAGTTTGTCTTTGGATTCGGGCGCCGGAGATGCCCTGGTGCGCATTCTTCACACAGCACTATCCAAGCGGCCACTGAACTGTGGCATCTTATTTCAGGGTTACATTTTGCCGAAGCCTCGCTGTACCTCAATATCTCTTGCGTCCTTGCTGCGTTCACGATTGGCAAACCGCTAGATGCGAAAGGGAAAGAAATCTCATCTCCTGTAGAGTTCGAAGGTGTTGGTGTACTCTGGTAACTCGTCCCTCTATCAGGCTGAAACATATTCTTACACGCCCAAAGGCACCCTAAACCATTCAAATGCAGATTCATCCCGAGGAACAAGGATTTGCTCTCAAGCGCCTTATCGCATACAAGCGTCCCACTGTCTTCGAATGTTATCATGATGACCCAACCGCATCCGATTGAGCAGTCGGTGCTTCCAGCTAGCTAGCGCTCGAACCTGACTATCTATCATAGTACTTAGCGCTCATCATCCGTTCCCGCAAATTATATTTCTTACGGCTGGAACTTCTGCGCAGCAACCAACCATCTCCGCGTCATCACCATAAGACTGAGCCCAGCGAGTAGAGGAATTCACGTAGATTTGCATCTAGCTCCAATCATTACTGAGTTCGAACGGAAGTTCTGCAGCTACCTGTCACTGGCAGGACTATTGAACGAGAGTCAAAACTCCCGTTCGGCGTGCAGTGACTTACTAGTTGCATCAGTACTCGCACGCTAGTCATCCAAAAACACACGGGACTGCCGTCCGACTTAGACAGACAGCGAGTCGAGAAAGCAAGCTGATCAAGGTGTATTAGTCTACAGGAAAAGATCCAACTGCGAACCAATATGATACGTCAAGGTGCGACAGTGCGACAGGAAATAGGAACACAGCGAAATGCCAACACCGGGAGTAGACATGGGACGGTCCAGCCAATATTGATGGTACTCAACGAGATCCATGGTTGCTGATAAGGAAAAAGTACAATTGGCTGGTAGATGTCATTCAGCACGAAGCAATCATGTAAATACCGCATAACTCATAATATACATCTGTGGAGTCTGGCTGAAGTCGGCCGAATCATTGCGAGAGAGTTGCCAGTAAATCCTTGTTCCTTGGGATGAACCTGCACTTGAATGGTTTAGGGAACCTTTGGGTGCGTGAGAATGTGTTTCAGGCTCATGGAACAACGAATTACCAAAGTAGACCAGAATTCTCGAACTCTACAGGAGGTGCGATCTCTTTCCCTCTCGCATCCAGCGGTTTGCCGATCGTGAACGCAGCAAGGATACAAGAAATATTGAGGTACAGCGACGCTTCGGCAAAATGCGACCCTAAAATAAGATGCCATCATTCAGTGGCAGCTTGAATGGTATCATGTAAAGGGCGCGCACCAGGGCATCTACGGCGCCCGAACCCAAAGATAAATTTGCGTGGATCCAATTGGGGAGAGGGACCGAGGAAGCGCTCGGGCCTGAACTCTAATGGGTCAGGGTACATTGTCTCATCCCGTGACATGAAAAGAATGTTCGCGATAACGGTTGTACCCTTGGGTATGCGATACCCTTCGTATACATCTTCCTTCATCGCATGATGCGGGAGCCCTGCGTCACTGAGAGTGAGCGGGAACTAGGACAAAAGATGTAGCTGACCTTGCGGAGCCACAGGTGCCCAGCGGAGGAGCTCTTGCATGAGCGCTCCAATATATGGAAGCTTGTCTCTGTCCTCAAACGCGGGAAATCGGTCCTGACCCACTATGGTATCGATCTCTGCCTGCGCACGCTTCTGCACGTCTGGATAAAGCAGCATCGCTAAGATAAAAGATGTTAAGGTTGATGATGTCTGCTCATTGTTTTAAAGTCACACGAGGGAGGGTGTAAAAGATATCTTACGGTGTCTACTCCTCCTGCATAGATCCCCTGACTGCACCACTTGGTGATCTCTTCTTGTTGAGCGCCGACCGTGGACCCATCCTCCGGAAGGAGTTGTTCTGAAACAAAGGAATGCGTGTAGCTGCCGCTTTGCTGGTGGGCAATAATAATTGGTTGGAATTCCGCATAACTGGAAGAGGCTTACTATTTGTTGTTTGGCCCAATTAAATGGTATTGTGTCAAGCCTACTCAACTTTTGCCCGATGTCGAGGGCTACACGCTTGAAACCTGCCCCTGGAAACCATGAAGGTAGGAAACGCACTCATGGAAGTTCGGCTAGTTGATTTTTATGACGACCCGGTAAATGAAAGGAGGACCTACATGATGGTATCGCTTCGACCAACCAACGTCCAGGCTGACCTAGCATAGCGCTCAGTGCCATGCCTTCTTGCAGGATACTGATGAAATAATCATTATTCTCGGTGACCTTCCAACCATATGCGAGATTGAGGACGACAGCCGCTGCGTTCCTGCACCTTTGATGAGAAACGAGCAGAATTAGCAATCAATCGCAAGAATTTTACCTTTTGATGTGCTGGGCGAAATGTTCAGGATTCTTGTGCAGAGCATTAAGCAGCATACGAGATTGTTCGGTTTTCAGTGATTGGTAGTTTTGTATAGTGCGGGGACTCAAACTGGCCTTGAGGACTGTGCGGTACATCTTGAAATAGGGATGAAGGAATGATATGCCGAATGTGTTCAGGGTGCGCTTCGCAAGTTCTTTCTGCATCCATATTTTTGGACGATCAGAATATATGGTGGCGCGTGAATCGAGCAATTCAGTAGCAGCTTGTAGGGAGCTGAGCACTATGAACTGCCGGTTGGGCGCGCGGAATGAGAACATGTGCCCTACGAGACGTAGGTCAAAAATCTCATAGCAAGCGGAAAATGGACGATGTTCACCATAGGTTTCAGCCCACTTGGCATACACCAGCCAAGGCTCTTTCTTTGACAGTTGATGAACATTTCCGGTAAAGAACTTTGGAGGTGGTCCAGGGGGTAGTGGCAATCTACTGCGTCGACGGTTATAGAAGAAAACTGTGACCAGTGCAGCCACAAAGAAGATGAGCGTACCAGAAGACATGTAACAGATAACAGGTGGGTCGACTTTGCGCTCTAGGTCTTTATACTGAGCAGATGATATAAGCAATGCGCTGTTACCGGTCTAATTACTTACGAGAAGACGGGCGATGATCGTGAAGAAAAGCGACTTCGAGCTTGGCCTCGAAGGGGAACCGAACCTCATCTCCATTAATAAAACATCCTTGGGAATTACAACCTCTCGCACATGATCTCGAACATCACCTTGGCAGGTCGGTTCCAGGATTAAATCCAGGTATAACTGGGAGACCTCGTGGCTAATGACGTCTTGTTGAGTTTAAGTTTGGGTGGAGTGATTCGGAGCGGCCCGACTATCACCGGGATAATATTACAGCTCCCGGGCCGCAACCCTCGCTCCATATACACTCAGCCCGAGTATGGCCAAGTATCAGAAGTTGACCATGATGAGTACGAGTACTAGTACTCAGTGTTGCTGCAAGTTCACCCATCCCCATTAACTCAGGTGAAACACTCATGAAACATTCGTGAAACACTAGTTCACCAAAATTGCACATGCCATGTGACACGCTAGTAGACTTCGCGCTATTTTAGCAAACCTCACGTGCCGTGGCCAAGGTATGACATGTACGTTGATCGGACGATAATCCTTTCGAGACCAGCACTTGCATAAACGCTACAAGCCATTGCATACCTTATACGATTCTGTTCGGGGTTTGCAAGCCATACAGGGCAGTAACCAGTCATACACTGGTATGCCAGCGTCTATTTCGTCGATCATTATGGTACTGACGGTTGGACTCGGAGGTCAGGTGGTGATTGCGCAGCGCGTAGACTACCTCACATGGTATATAAAGGTCGCCTTCAAATTCCACACTTCAAAGCACCCTGCCCTCCCACTCAAAGTTGGTACACACATACTACAATTCTATCACCCTGATTTAGATTATATCATGCCTGGAAGTACTCTTCCTCCTTTCCCCAACGACGTTCGAACACATCCACTCTTGATTATTGATTACCAGCTCATAAAGGCTGGAGATACGGAAGAAGTAAATCGACTGTGGGAGGCAGCGACAACTATCGGATTCTGGTAGTACGTTACATTCAAGTATTTTGAACTCACGTCGTACCTAACTCTCTAACAGTCTAAAGAATCACGACGCAGACCAAGAAGTCAACGACATGTTTGATATGGGAACTGAGACAATGGCCTTGCCCTTCGAAGAGCTTATGAAGTTTGAGCAAGGAGACAGCGGACGATCTTTCGGGTTTGTTTAATTTAGCTCATGACCGCCCCTCATCTTGTCTGAATCCATTATCAGATACAAGAAAGCAGGGGCCAATGCGGTTGATGCAGCTGGTAGGACTTTCAAGCCAATCTACCACTAAGCAGCCGACTGATGCAAACACAGGCAATTTGGACTCTGTCGAGTTCATAAACGTTTCTAAAGATGATGCTCTGGCATATCCGCAGGTCGTTCACCGCACCTACCCATCGACCGTAAATGCTCGCATGGAAAACACGATTGCGCCATTTGTCCGCAAAGGTCTCGAGGTGACATATGTTGTCTTTGATATATTCGATGACAAGCTTGGACTGCCGAAAGGCACTTTGGAGAAACTACATGAAATGGAGGAGCACAGTGGTAGCGAGACTAGATGCATTCGTAAACCTCCTACGCAGATCAAAGAGGGGCCAAAAATCGCTGCTGTAGGTGCCCACACTGATTTCGGCAGCCTGGTGGGTAACTGGACACATGGGGACCGTTTTTTTTTTCTAAATCTAAGTTTACCAGAGCTTCTTGCACAATCGTATCGGTGGACTCCAAGTACTACCCCCGGGTCATGACGAGTGGTCCTACATTCGAGTCAGCATGAGTCTCGTACATGCATGCACATGCAACAAACACTGATCATTTCATAGCCCATCCCCGGACATGCAATTTGCAATATTGGAGACGCGTTGTCTCTTTTTAGCGGAGGCGTTCTGCAATCCAACATTCACCGTGTTGTGTGCGTGCATGAGTACTTAAATAGTCAACTTTGCTAACTTGTCGGATGACCATGGACAGCACACCTCCTGGTGTACAGGCTGAATACGAACGGTGGTCCTTGGTTTTCTTTACCCGTCCAGGAAACTCGCAAGTCCTGCGCGCTCTTGTCGAATCCAGTCCTATTATTGCAGAAGCGGTGAAGAAGCAACCTAACAGAAACTTTGAGACTGGTTCTACTGCTGTGGACTGGTTCGCAAGAAGAATCAAGAATCAGAGAATTAACAACAGAACGGTAGGCACTCCTTTAGTGTGTTGCGGAGGATATGATCATTGATGCTGGAACATCACAGGGACCAGAAACGTGGGCTGCAAGCCGAGGGACAGAGCATACTCCGACGGTGGTCTAAGCTACGGATGGCCCTGTTCGCGGGGGACTTGCTCTCGCCTAAACTATGTAGATAGAAATTTATGCTTGCCTATTTGTCAATGGAAAATGCGTGCTTCATCAGCATGGTGTCGGCCAAAGGCCGACACTGATTTGTACAAAGGTGTGGTGTGAAGGGGCTTTGATGGCGGGCCTTTCCTGATCCCGAAGCAAGGTTGTCGCTAACAAGCATGACTAATTCAGAAAGACACCGTCAAACTTCAGCCACGGCATTGGTGTTGTGGGGGAGAGGTTTGGTGTGCTGTATGTTGGCACTGATCATGAAATGATAATTACTGAACAAGGAAAAGTCTCGAACGAGTAACGCTATACTCTAATAAATAGAAAACAAGACATACCCGCCGAGCCTGAATAATCAAGCAACGTCAAATGCTCCGAAATCTATGAAATAACATCAACCGTATAACGTCGGGTTAAGTACTGACATGCACCAGTCAGATCCAGTCTACCAGGACCCGTCTGAGTCATAACTCCAGTTGTCGTCTGCCCCGCCGTCGAATCCGTCAGCATAGCTCTCATAGCCAACATTACTCCCATAATCGTTATCGCCCTCAACTCCCTTGCTGCTTTTATCATCCTCCTCCTCACCATCATTCTCATCCTCGCTGCCTTCATGCCCTTCATCACCTTCCACTATTTTGTCATCCCTGATTTCATTGAAGTCCTCTCTTTCAACTTCCTGCTCGAATTTGGAGGAGCTGTCGTTGTCGTTGGACCCGTCTCCTTCATCTAGGCCAACGACCACATCGCGGTCAACCCCTTCGTTGCCCTCACCCCTCTTGTTGTGCTTGTCACCCTCACTACCATGTTGCCCTCCGTCGTCCTCTTCATCATCTGTGTCTTCGTCCAGATCCTCTCCTTCAGCATCCTGGTCGGTTCCGGAGGAGCTGTCACCATCTGACTCGTCATCTTCATCACTATCACTGTCAGACCAGTGTCCAGACCAGTTCCCAGACCACGTCCCAAACCAAATCCCAGACGATTTCCCGGATGAATCCCCATCGTCAATTGTCTCGTTTGGACGGAGCTCGCAGTATTGCTGATGTACGAACAGCACAATATCTCCAATTGATGGTCGACTGGCACGAGGCAACCAACACTGCTGTATGAACTCCCAGTGCGGAGGTGCAACTTGCGAGCCCTTGGGAAGCTCTGGTTTCTTTCCTGTGACGACGCATCCCAACAACACATTATCTTTCTTCACATCGTAGTAGGGTACTTTGCAAGTCAATACCTGGAGCATTCACAAAGTGAACAAAGGTTCTTTGGGCCGAGAACTCAAGTCACTCGCCTGCAAGATGATACTGCCAAATGAGTAGATGTCACATTCAACGCTGAGCGACACCGACGCATCATCTTCTCCATCGCCCTCGGGTATGCAAAATAGTTCTGCAGCTGCCCATCGAATATGTCCTCTGATGGAGCTCGTGAGATAGGAAGTACCAACGAACTCCTCGATCATGGTTGAAAGACCAAAATCAGCGACACACGCCCGACCGTTGCCATAAATCAAGACATTTGACTAGAGAATCGAGATATCAGTAACGAGTACCACTGTATGTTGCTGTACACACCCCTGTCAGATCACCATGGATAATTGATTTGCTGTGAACTGAATCTTGTTAGCATTTCAAAATTAAGTGGAGTGAAGGACGACTTACGATACTGCAACCCAAGGGCGATATCAGTCAACTAACATGCATCGGCAAGTCAACAAGTGTCTAAAAATACTCGCGAGCATGGGCTTACAAGTACGAACTTATCTTCCAATGTCAATGTGTCTTCTTGGCGCTCAAGATAGCCCGTCAAAGCTCCATTATCGGCCCAAGGGCAAACCATTGCGAGATAGGGTCCAAAGCCGGATGCCACTCCCCAGAGCGGAAGAATACTGTTATGTTTGAGACGGCCCCAAACTTTCAGCTCGCGACGAATTCTCTATGCCTAGTTTATCATGAATCCACAAAGTATTTTTGCAGGGGATGCTACCTTTCTATTCTTCTGCATCAAAGCCTCGTTGTCAGACTGTAAAGCACGGATGGTCTTCACTGCTACCTTCGTATATTTAGGAAAATACGCGATGCAGATGCACAGGCTGCTCTTACTGGGACTGTCCCATCTGACCTCACTAAGTGACACCTATGGATGTCTCCATAGCCTCCGCAAGTTATAGGAAACTGCGAGCTCCTCTGGAGGTCCTTGGTAAGATCTTGCAGCAAGCCCGATGAAGAATGTGCTGATTGTTGGCCATCTTCACCAGTAGGTGTATTTATTGTTATCTCCGAAGGAGACAAAATGGAAATCTATGGGTAACTACGTGAGTGAGATGTTAATTCAATAAAGCGATGGTTCATACGCTCATGAGAGGGTTGCACAGTGTGCGGGAAAAAATGGCCGGGAGAGTTGGGTCAGCTTAGATCGTAATTTGGCCACCAGAGATCGCATTTTTTTTGGCAACAACGATAACTCCTCAACGTCTGGGCCAAATAATATAATTTTCTACCATTGGATAGCCTGATGTCGAAAATACAATGCCTGCTATTTTTTTTCTTGAGATGTGAAGAGTTAAGTCTAGCGGAGAGTTACCGTTTAGCAAGAGTTCGCGTTTCCGTCACATTATGTCACACCCTGCCATCAAACCATTTTACACTCCGCGCGACTCAAGGTGCCGTTGCGAGCTAATAAAACTCCAGTTGCTGTGACAGATTTTGAAAAAAAGCGTAGCCAGTCCGTGCCAAACTGACCCTCTGAGATCCCTCAACCGGAATCTTTTTGACACTCAAACATCGTCAATTTCACCTGGGTGTGATAGAGAACGATATTTCCAATAGGTCTGTCAAGAAACGGGAAAAAAAAACCTCTGGACGAGTGAGCTACACATCAAACATTGCAAAGTTTTGAAAAAGGGTGCCAGTGATAGTACCGCTGCAGCCTGGGCCGCTTCCTGGAAGATCTACTACTTACCAAGCTGTTTACGTAGTCATCGTCCGGAAGCGCGCACTTGAACAACAAGTTAGGGGTAACCAAAACATTGACTGTTTCACCAACACGGATGGGACCCCATGCACCACTACTATAAATTTTACCAATAGTTGAAAGCCTCGTTGTTCAGGACCTCACAACGAGCAAGTCATGATAAGTTTTTGTACAGACTGGAAGGCCCAACTAACGCACCTATAACAGCTTGCAAATTTTCAGTGGAGCTATCCAGAAGATGACTTACTGTCGTCGCTGTGACCGCTCCTTTGGCTCCAGGTCTGCTTACGACCAGCATGTCCGGGACTCTCTCAAACACTGATGGGAATGCGAACATTGTGATATCAGCTTTGGCTCTGGGCGAGGACTCAAAGAACATTATGTTCAGAGCCCCAACCATTCCTACTGCCAGTATTGCGATGTCGATTTCAACTCCCAGTCAGAGCTACAAGACCATCGCAAAGACGATCTTGCTTACTGCAGCTCATGTAACAAAATCTTCAAGAACCACTTTGGGCTGCATGAACATAATCGGCAGAAGCCTGAGCACCAACGCCGGTACTGCGTTAAGTGCAGAAAGCTTTTCCAAGATCCGAACGGCCTTCGCTCTGTAAGCTTTACTCCGTTCGTGGATTTTGGTAAAACCTGACCTGGACGAACTAGCATTTGTTGAACTCTAAAAAACATTCGATTTGAATCTTCCTATCAGCCTCTTTTACAATATCCACATAGTTTCTTTCGATAGAGATAACCAATTTCCATTTTTCTCTTCCATCCTTCAATTGGCATCACCGTCCGAGTCATACCTATTAAAAGTCGCTATCAGCATAGACCCATTCCATCATAACGGTTTCCGACAGCTCTGACCGAAGCAGGTTTCTCTGTAGAGTTGCTAGGGATTGGTGGACATCCAAAATGAATACATTTATAAATATTATGTCTCGGTTATGTCTCGCACCTGTCCATGGGACTTTTTTGACCGTATTTCAGGTGTATGTAAATATGTCTCTGATATATTAAAATGAAAGTAGCTTATATAATATAGGTCGTCTTCTATAATCGATGAGATGATTGCGAGTGGACAAGGATACTATTTGCCAGTACTGGTATTCGGGGCATCCGAATCTCCGGCACGGCATCAAGATTTACCTAAAAGTTCCTGCGTAAGCTCAGGGCCAGGAGGGGCGTTGTCACGTGGTAACATTTACGATCGGAGTTTCCTGTTTCGGGTTATCTCGCGTGATGCCATAGTGGCAGCTGGAAAGCTGTGTGCTAATCCTAGCTGCTCATTGTCCACTTCAAACTAGTGCTTGGCCGTAGTGCTGTGACCCTCAAAGGCAATGCTTCCACCGCAGCCACAACCGTTACAGGATATCGCTTCCGCCTGTCTATATAAGTGAGACACTGAACTTTTAGCTTCAATCATTCATGTCTACCACACCCTCCGAGAAGTCCCCCCAGCATTCGCACGAGACGGTGGAAAACCATTTCACTGGACTCGGTGCGAAAGATCAGCGTGCATATGAGCGCGCTAGACACCAGACAAAGGAGCGGCGGGAGCACGCGCAGATGAAAGAGCGCAAGGAGGCAGCGGCGAGGGTACGAGCACCAGCGCTCAAGGAAGAGCACTTGAGCCGGGCTGCTAGGAGGATCAGCATGGAGTTCTGGGATGGCGATGAGCCTGACCCTCGTACTCTCACTGGATTCGGGCGCCCCGTTAATGTCGCACCAGTGTCGAGGATCGAATCCGGTTTCTCCAAGATGACACTTGCGGATTTCGTGACGTTCAGGACCAAGAAACTATCCAAGGCGCAAGGTATGGTGCTGAAATATTTCGTTCGTGAAAAGGCTGACTCGAAGTTGTCTGTAGATGTTGACTTTGAGGTCCTCCCCCCTGTCCGTTCGGTCATTGCTCTTGATGACTTTGGACACGACGTTGAGATTAATGAACCTTGGGAATTTATCTCTCTTGCCCCCGAATCGCCTGCTTGGAAGGGCTTGTCGTACGCTCAGGCTGCTGCTTTGACGCTGTAGATCATGCTATTGACATTTGATAAGTATACCACATCATACCACTCATTACGACTTAGTTCATTCCTCAGCTCATCAACATTACGAACTCACGTCACATCTTCGAGCTCCGTGTCGTATTGTCTTTGACTTCGTTATAATTCTACTAGTACTTACTCTTACTGAACTGGGCAGCGTATTTGGACTTCGAGGATCGATTATATACAGCAGTGCGCAATTTATCCAAACTGTACTGAGCTAGGTATTGCACCATCAATCACGATCCCCAACTTTGAAAGCAGGACGTGTGACTGTCAACCGCACACCATAACAGTATGACCCTGTATCGCCTAATGTGCGCAGGTGAGTCATTTGGTTGCAAAGCGACCTGATCATACTACTCACGGTCGGTATACACGGCAAGCCACCGCAGCAATCTGCACTTGTCCTGCAATAAAAACTGGCACAGGCACTAACACTGACAGATGTGTACGCTGATAAAGCTGCAATCGCGACGAAGGAAAGACGCATTTTCTGTGCGAGCTGATGTGAAATCGTCCAAGGGGGGATCTCAAGTGATTGATATATGGGGATGAGGGGACACTGTAGGAAGATGACCAGCTTTTATATCCTGCACATACTTATGGCATGATTCTCAATTCAACAGAATTGTGCGAGTTCTGCCGCATGAATTACTGATCTGAACCGTCTTCGCAGCGTTCCGTCGGTGTGCTGTTAGATCATTTCATCCTGTGACTGGCATTCGCTGGCTTGTTTCTACCTTGAACCGTCTTCGCAGCGTTCTATCGGTGTGCTGTTAGATCATTTCATCCTGTGACTGGCATTCGCTGGCTTGTTTCTACCTTGAACCGTCTTCGCAGCGTTCTATCGGTGTGCTGTTAGATCATTTCATCCTGTGACTGGCATTCGCTGGCTTGTTTCTACCGGTTGTGCCTATCTGTGTGTTGCTGGCCTCATTTCAGCAGGCCAAGGATGGTTAGCCAAACGATCGACTCAAAACCATCTTGAACTTGAGCTTACTTGTCCACCAGAACATACACGAGTCGGACCACTGCAACGGCGGTAGTGAGGTAGTGAGTAACTACCACTTATAGCGTTCACGTGAAATTATCTTGATAAATAATGACTGCTATACGCTCGGAAAAGAGATGATCACAGAATATGCGCCAGGGTTGTCGGAAGAACCAGAGCAGTATTTACCCCCCCCTTCCAGCTTCTCCGCCGAATATCACCTCTGTCTTCACTGGTGAACGACGTGCGAAGTCTCGCTTAGTGACAATCTTGTGAGTATGAGAAGCAAAAATAATACCCGAAAGTGAGTCTTTGATCTGCGCTGACGGCAGATGGGATCAAGTCCAGAACAAAAGTCATCTTGGAGTCGGCATCAGAAGGAGCCTCTCCTTCAAATCGTGAAGTAACTAGGTGATGACGCTACGTAGGGTGGTGCCCGTTTCATGGTTCGTATTGCTGCAAAATCTCTGGTTTTTGGTTAGTATGAAATTGACGCACGTTCCACTCACTATCTCCTCGTGAAAGTAGTAAGAGCCAAAATCTGGATGTCGTATCCTGGTCCAGCCGGTGGTGAGTTCAGATAGCAACTTAAACTTCCATGCGTCACGGTCCAGTCGTGCAGAGGAAGAGAGATGCTGCGTCACAGTTGTATGACTCGCCACGCAGCGACAATTACTCGACCACGAGAGTCAGAGGTACGCACAAAACAGCATAACGCAGAAAACGGATAGAGCCGCAAAAAAGAAAGAAAATACAACGACACAAGCATGACGTGGTGGACAACATGCCGGCAGCTATGCTTGCTTATACATTGTAGATTATATAATTGCAGTCGTGTAGAGCCAGAACAGTTGAGCCCTATCGATCTTGATGGAAAAAATCAAGCTCTACGGTGAGCTACACTTTCAGGAAGAATGAGTGTGGACAGACTGCTCTGCTTTGATCATTTGGGGTTACACGAAGGCTTAGTCAAGGTGTAGTAATAGTTACAGAAAGATCTGGTTATGAGTTAGTTGCGCACGTTGCAAAAAGGAAAAGCGCCTTCAAGTTCAGCAAGCTTACAGAAAGCAGTGAAAATGAGGAAAATGAATGGACAGGGCTAGCGTATAATTTAATGGTGGATATTCATACATGTACATTCTTTATGTGAGTTTGCATCCAGTGATTTTCACTAGATAATGTGGAGAGTGATTAGCGGTTTCCCTCACATCGAGTATAACGTGCAACACACCAGAACCATCAGGCTGCCCAACAGCGTACAACATTTCCATTGGGTGGAACGCGAAGGATGTATGTCTAGGGATATAAGGTGTCGGTGGTCGAGAGGAATATGCGTTCAGGCCCGTCGGTAGGCTTAGCGTGGAGAGCAATGATGAATCTGATATAGAGTGTAACATGAGCCGCTGGTGCCTGAAGTTGGCAGGAGTAAGAGCAGATGTTCTGCAACCTAGTCAGCCAACCATTCTGCCTCTAACAGGATCGCACTTACGTGGCAAACACGCCTGTCTGTGAATGTACATCGAATGCGGACAAACCCGCATGGTGTAAGTCCCAAGCTTGAGCCGCTGTATCGGAGACTCTCAAATCCCACAGACGGACTTCGCCAGCGAGGCTGCATTTATTTATGTGAGCCCCAGTACAAATACTGCACAGCTTTAGCTCACCTTGCAGACAAGAACTGACCGCCGATGCGCGGGTGGTATTTGACATTCTGTATCCATGAGTGATGATCATGATAGGATCTAACAATAGCATCCTCTTCCTCAAGTCGACGATCGAAAACTTTGACCAGGCCATCGGCAAAGCCAACAATGAACGTAGACGACGAGCCCTGATCAGATGTGATAGACGTTACAGGACTCTCGCAATTAGTTTCGAGATCCTTTGAAATCGTGAGTAATTAGTCTTCACTACGAGGTATTACCCTCTCACCAGGACTTGAGTCTCCGTGTGGGCATCCCATACACGGATGATACGAGAGTCACCCCCAACCAGCAGCGTGCCACCCGATTGTTTCCAATCTAGTACAAGGCCGCTACCTCTACGCACCCGGATCAACTCATGCAGTGCGCGGAATGAGCTGACCATCTGGAGTGGACCTTGGTTCACCGTAGGGTCGTAATTCCGGTACAGACGCACGATGCCGTCAGCTGCACAACTGGTAGGTATTTAAGATTACGGAGCAGTTAAGTACGAACCTGCACCAGTCATGATGATTCCCCCCACATCCTGGTTGATGATTTGCAGGGACGTAATGCTCGTGCCTTTAGGATTGCCATTGCAGAAGTAATTCAAGCGCTTGCGCTGTGTCCAATCCCAGACACTGATGTGATTGCGTCAACAGAGTTATTCCGACACAGAATAGATCACACAAACCTGATCATGTCGCTGTCATTCGCGATGACTAGGTGGGGGTCGTATGCGTGCATTGCCATGCACAAGGGATGGCTGTTCACGTGCAGGTTAGCCACAGGACGGTCCCATCTTGAGCTCTCTGCGCAACTTCAGTGTCAATGATCACATCGGGACATAGCACGCACCAGCAACTATTGACTGTTTCTGCGTCTCTGTGATAACTTGCTCATTTCGCTGCTGCCTCCACACTTGGTAATTGTACTGCACGCTTCCTGGCTCGTCCGCCTCCGTTTGCTGCAAAAAACAAGAGCACATTCAATATCAACATTTAAAACCCACGAATGTCACGTCACACGCACCCGCATCTGCGGCTCCGTAAAGTACTCGCAACACCAAGCAAAGAACGAGCTTTTCAAAGGCAGTACATCACGCAGTCCGTTACCGGTGCCACAGCCGAGCGGCACATTGCTGACATTCGAGTCCATAGAGAATGTGCTCTCGCATGGACTGTTCAGGCCACCGCCAGCACTACCCCCTGCATGACCGAGCCCCGAACCTGCAGAACGTCGTCCATGCGTTCCTTCCCGACGTCGTGCCCGCAAACGCACCATATCTTCCTCAACAAGCGCTTCCATTACATGGGAAGGTAGGAAGTTCGCAGTCACTGCAGCTGGCGACACCGGAGGTGAAGCCAAGTCTCTTTCTTTATCCCGTAACGGTGTTGGCGGACGTGAATAGGGCGAAGCATACTGTGCGATGTTGAAGTTGGGTGATGGGGGACGGGATGCAACGAGAACGTCAGATCGGGAGAGTGAAGATGGTACAGGACTTGGCGGGGCACGTGCCTCATCGTTGCTGGGGAAAGGGATACCCCCTGCAAGATGACGCAGTGTGTTTGCAAAGGATGAAGTACGCCGGAGTGTATTTGATGGACGTGACAATGACGGCGAGGGCGGGTGTTGCATCAGCGGTGAGCCTTGTGCCGAGCTCACACGGGAGTGCGCGCCGTTTGCACCGGCGGGTTTGTAATCAACGGGTAGTGGGGGGACAAGGTTAAGTTTTGCAAAAGGTGATGCGAGGAGCAGCGCAAAAATGTAGTCCATTACTGTCTGCGCGAGTGTTGCGACCTCGTGGTAAGGGTCAATTGTCAACTCCATGAGCACCACGAAAATTGTGAAAAAGCTTGAGAGCAACACTCGGTTTTCTTCCCTCGAACCTTCGTCATCGCCAAATCCGTCCAGCCATTCAGCAAGCGCCTGAGCTGTGACTTCTTCTTCCGTGTGGTGATGATGGGTATGTGATTCACCTGCGCGCCATCGCCGGTCCTCTTCCCAGTACATCCACGCGCAAACGACGAAGTGCCCGCGCCATTCGCGCACAAGGCAGCTTATGAGCACGAGCAGCTCCTTGCGCACCATTGGGCTTGCATCATCCCTCACAGCAAGAGTGGCTCCAGTTGCAACAGCCACCTCCATCCTGAAGTGAATGCGCTCTTCGAGCTGATACTGAGTCCCAGTCCCAGCGCCACCCTGACCTTTGCCCCCAGCCGCACCCATGAAAGTCGAAAGTGCGTATAGGACTGCGCTTCTAACTTCAGGCGAGTCGTCAGACAACATGAGGATGAGCTTGTCTTGAAT